GAAATTCCCCTTCCCTCTCTCATTAAGGGGACTGCTTTGGGCAGTTTTTCAGGAAGAGGTCTTAAAATCATAGAGAGAGGATCAGGTCTCACCCAGTCTCATCCACATTGCTGTAATGTTGCTTGTTGGTGCTTATTGTCTTCCATTGTCAGCAGATTAGGACTGGCTATGCAGATGTAGCCAGTCTTTCCCCTGCCAGTTTGGAGGGCTTCCTCAGATCAAACGAGAGGGCTTCTGCCACCCCACAATCAATAAGGGTCCCCTCCTTGCTTGTCATCTCTACAGAGTGACTTTTGACCCTTTCCAGGGTCCCCCAGCTGGGCAAAATCAAACGCGAAAAACAGAGCCCCGTTTTCTTGTGTCCGTCTTGCCGTGACATCAAAACCGGAAGCCAATGGGGCAGTGGTTCTCAACCTTTTTAATGCCGCGACCCCCAACCGGTCGTAAGTCGAGGACTACTCAACCGGTCGTAAGTCGAGGACTACTCAACTGGTGCAGCACCGTTTGCAGAATGGGACTTTTGGCGGGCTCAGCAGGGCAGAGACAGCCTGGACAATTCCTATTGGCTTTTGAAAGCCAATAGAATTAGATTCTATTCAAGAGAGTCTATTCTATTGGCTTTCAAAAGCCAACAGAATAAAAGGGAGTAGCACAGCTAAGAAAAAGGGGGAAAAATGGCGGACTGCATTGTTTGGCGACCCCGTGAAATGGTCATTTGACCCCAAATGAGGTCCTGACCCACAGGTTGAGAACCACTGCAATGGGGCATTATTTCTCTATATGATTTGAATCTTTAACCTCCCAGGGAACCAATCTGATAATGACCTTGCTGATCCCCATCCCCCACATCATCTATTTCTCAATATAAGGCAGGAAGACCCTGCAATATATGTTGGCTTCATCTTCATCCTCTAATAAGAAATCTACTCTAGAGGACATGACAAGCAAGCAACCTTTGGAACTTCCAAATAGCTGGAGATAATTGAAACTGGAGACTAATAATATCTGGAGAAGCACACATTGCCCACTTATTTTCCAGAGATACATTATCAACTTTGTTCTCCAAAAATACCCAGTATTGAGCCCATATCAAACAAAGGCTTTTTGAAGTGTCAGCTAAACTTTGGAGTGCTTTAAACCAATCTTGCAGTGGGAGGTGGGATATGAAGGCTTTCAGTGAATAAATTTAATGTGACTTGTAACAAGCAATGCTTATTAGAGGAAGCAATATACATAGAAATGGTACAACTTCAGTTGCATGGTAGGGCCACCATTTTGCCTCTTATACCCACTCTACAGACACTCTTGTCTGAATGAAAGAGTCCCATTTGACTGTTAAACTGAACAATGTTACTTTCAACCCATTTTTCTAAGCTTGCCAGACATGTTTAATTTTATTTTAATCTTTTCATGTATTAGCTCTTTTACCCAATATGATGTCTTCCATAAGCATTCTCTCCAGCCTTCAAGCAAGACATTAACAAAAACAGTGAAGAGCATGGGACACAGAACTAACCTTTGTGAGCACCTCCTACAAACCTTTATCTAGCATGATGAGGAACGACTTTGAGTATGTTCTGAGCCATCTAGGTATACACTTAATTGACTGACCACCTAGTCGATACTTAAGAGTAACTTGGGGTTCTTTGTCAAATAGTTTGCTCTCGGAATCTGTTAGGAAAATTACCCAGTCAAAAAATAAGGTAAGATTGTCAAAATTTGTTTTTGGCAAAGCCATGCTGATTTTTGATACTTGCTACATTCTTCCCTCAATGCTTATATATCAATCTATTCATGATCTGCTGTAAATTGTCCCAGTATCTATGCTGGACTGATTTTGCATTTTACTGGCTCTTTCTTCTCTCCCCTTTTGAAGAGACGGACATTATTTGCTTTCTACTTTTTAAAGTACTTGACCTGTTTTCAAGGATTTTTCAGAAATAATTCATAAGAAATTGACTAGGCCATTAGCTAATTCTTTTAATATTCTAAAGTACAATTTGATTTGATTAATTTGATTTCTATAGGTGGCCATCTCAACAGGGGACTCAAGGCAGCATGCATCATAAAAATATCAAAACAATTAAAACTATACCAAATAAATATGCATGGTCATATATACTCAAGTAGAGGACATGTCTTCCAAACTCCAACAACCCAAAGTTATCCTGCATTTAGGGCACTTTTCCTAAACATGTCAATATAATGCTAAGACAGAAGGCCAGAGTGAACAAGACCCCCACCTCTTCTCTTTTAAGCACAAGGCAGCAATAAGGTGTTCTTTCTCAAGCTGCATTTACTATGTTAAATAGTTTTTCTAAGGTTGACACAATGGCATTGGCTCAGGGATAGTGCACAGCTGCCAATCTCCAGTGATAACACTGTGCAATTGGCAATGATGAGAAAGGATCCCAGTTTTTGTCATCCCAGTTTTTGATATGGATCTATTGTGACAGCAATCATTCTGGGGAATAACTTTTTATATTTACAAATTATAAAGAGGTGAAGATAAGGATGTATATTGGATTGCAATGCACTGTATTGTAAAATGATAAGAGATTCTCTTAAATAGATTTATTTAACATGAAACTGACAGAATAAGTTGACTAAGAGGCAATTTATTGATTCTATTTCCACTTTTGTAGCATTTTCTCTTAGGAATTCATTGCTTCACTAGTTATCACCTGCTATTAGACTAAATTGCTCATAAGTTGTTTTTTTTTTTCATGCAGTGCCAATAATTTCTCAAAGCCATTCATTTGGATCTTTGGTGGTTTGGCATGTCATTACCTCTAGACACTATGGATTATCTGAAGTCAGCCAGGAGAAATCATGGTTGGCACTCACCTGGTGTAAACCTATCAGCCATAGACTTCATATTTAATGAGTGTGTGAAATGCTTCAGTAGCTCTGCATGAATGAATGTCTTCTGGGAGGTCAGTCAATTAAGCTCAGTTTCAGAGTGACATGGATTGTAGCAATACAAAGTGAATGCATTCTCTGAGGTGCTTCTGATCACAGGGACTGGGGACATGAATGTGATTGATTCTAATGGTATGCTTAAAGTTTCAGCCTCGGATGATATTGAACAATGGAAAATAACTCATGGGAATCCTTAACTTTTTTCTAACTCAAGAGCCTCAATTCATTTATGCTGTGTTGGGAATAGAGATGCGGGCAGAGTATAAGAGTATAAGACACCAAGACATGTGTGTGGTTTAATGAAGGATTTCCCACTTGAACTTGAAATATTCTTTTTTATTGGTATCACTTGAACTTTTCAGGACTTCCAAAGTGAAATAACACTCTTTAAAAAAAATATCTTACCATGTTTTGTTTTAATGACAGTTCCAAAGGATGGAGCATAGCTTGAACATGAACTTGATAACTTCTTATCAGAATCCTGGCTGTTCCTTGAATATCGCTTACTATCTTACAACAAATATAAAACAACCAAGAGTGCATCATTGCCAGTAAAATAAATAAATAAAACAAAACTTCATGTGATTGAGAAACTAAATAATTATGTTGATCTTTCAGTTCTTTAGCCTCACATCTCTGCTGAAGCATTTAATATATATCACTTCCTAATTTCTTTGTCCACAGGATGCAGTAAGAGCCATGTGTGCAGTTCTCTTACCTAATCCACATATAAAAAGGCATTGAATCAGCCTTGCAATCAATTATAATTCAGGGCATCAAATGCTGTCTTCAGCAATGGCAGTATTTGTAGGTCAGGTTTTTCAATCTTGCCAGAGTGAAAACTGGACATTTTAAAATGTTGTAGTTTTCCACTGCTTACACATTCTGGTTTTATATATGCTGATAAATAAAAACAAAGAAATCATGTGGCGTTTAAAATGTGTACTTAATAAGACATAAGCTTTGGTGACATCAGCTACAGTATTATAAAGTATAAAGTATTATACAGTATTATAAAGTATGAAGTATTATCCCGAGCTTAGAAGTTACATAATGAATGACTTTCTGGCCATTATTGGATTATTGGAAAAAGAGATTGGAAAGAACTCAGGAGGAAATATATATATATCAAATCATGAAAATTATCTTACTAACAGAGCCCATTTCCAAAGCCCATCTAGGCTGTGACACAGACATTCTTATAACAATAGGCTGTGGGGTAACATTTTTTCCCAGTTCAGGCCAATGAAGATAGAATTGAAGCATCTGACAATAAGTTGCTCACTTGTTTTGTAAGAAAATCTATCTTTGTGGTACCTTTGATCAAGAATGACTACTAAAATTAGTGTCTGAGTTTTCTAGAGGGCAGAAATTAATGATGTCATTTTGAATTTGTTGGATTTTCACAAGCAAGCAATAATAATATTTTTGAGAAATATCTATAAGATTATCTAATCATTCAACCAAACACATGAAGAGGCACTGCAGACAGTTGCTCTATAGCAAGCCTGAACGCTTGTCCACCTAGCTGAACATTAGAATAGAATAGAATAGGACCCTGGAGGTCTTCTAGTCCAGCCCCCTGCTCAAGCAGGAGGACCTATACCATTTGAGATAAGTGACTGTCTAGTCTCTTCTTAAAAACCTTCAGTGATGGAGCGATTTCTGAAAGCAAGCTGTTCCACTGGTTAACTGTCCTCACTGTTAGGACATTTCTCCTTAATTCCAGGTTGCTTCTCTCTTTGGTCATTTCCAACCATTGTTTCTTGTCCTGCCCTCTGGTGCTTTGGAGAATAGTTTGACACTCTCTTTATCCTTTTTAAATGGGATTGGTTCTCCAGAATTTGCCACTGGCTACTATGGTCCTTTTCCTAGAAATGGTGGGGGTAAAACCATGAGCAGCATGAAACAATATAGAGTCATCTTCCTTGTCCTAACTGAAACCCAAACTTTCTGGCCAAGTTCACTTTTCACATACATCATTTAATGTATTTTCATTCAATAACTCACTTTTTGCTCTTAATTCATTTAAAAAGCAGCTGGGGGGGGGGATAATAAGGAAGTTCAGATTCCTGTGTTTGGATTGCCATTTACATAAATAAGATGCTCTAGCCACAAAATAATTATCAGATCTGTTTTAAAAAAAGGCACTGTTTTCACCAGGTACATTTTAGAAGATGGAATTTCCTGCTCTGCCTACTTGGTGGGGGTCATTAACATTTTAAGTTTTGTACTATTTTTAACGTTTTAAGATACATTAAATGATTAAATGAAAAGAGTGGGACAAACACTGTAGACATAATATAAATAGAAACATGTAATCAAAGTATGGTGCAGTTTTTCTCAGGGCTATATCATTTCAAAATTAGACTGAACGAAAAGGTATCATATGATTGAAATATCTGGCTTTTTCATGTTAAAGAAAAGTCATTTATTTATACCAGTATAAAAGAGAGAAAGGTAGTTTATATTAATTTCCCCTCTTGTGTTAATTTTGCATTTACAGGAAAATATTTCTAAAATAAGACAGTTACTAGAAAAATACAATTCACTTTCTACAATTAAAATTCATGCAGTTTAAAAACTAATTTTGTTCTGAGACAAAAATTAGAGATGTTTAGCATATGACCACTATCGATGCAGCAAAGTTTAAAATTGAAGAATGCAAAAAAGAGGAAAGTTGGCTATATTGATATATGATGAAGCTGTTAAAAATATTACTCATGCTTATGATTGGAAATCAGACTCTCTTAGGAAACTTGAATGGCTTGTACAATCAGCTGTGTTGCTTCATAATCTAAATAGCTGACACATAATCAATCATCATGAAAAATTTCCCACTGCATTATCAAAAGGTGAGACTTACCAGTAAGACAGATCCTTTCCAGATCCTTGTGCCTGCAAATAATTATGCCTCAGAACTGTGTGAGCTTTCTTATTTCTAGGCTAACATTTTTTACTTGCAATAAAAAAATTGTGAAAGCAAATCAAGTCAGTTGATTCAAGGATTCTCAGACTCAAGCTAATCATCTCAATGTGGATGTGCAGTGCTGTTTATTTTCTTTTTTTGAGGGATTGGATTTTCTAAGCCCCAGATATTTAGAAAAGCCACTAATCTCTAGTTACTTATGTCATCTGGCTACTATATTCCTACTGTGAGAGAAGAAGTTCAAATTCAATCCATTAACTCAACTACTTTATTCCAAGATCCCACAATAAACAGATTCGTTGGGAGAATACAGTTTTAGGTATAATTCTGTCACTCCTCCAAAGAACTATGTTGCTCTTGTGATTTCCATCCAAGTCACTCACTGTCAGATGCTTTGAACTGCACTCCTTGCAAAATAACTGCTTTATCCTCCCTCATTTGCTCACTCTCTCCCTCCCACCTGAATGCTCAGTTCAGCACTTGGACAGTTATGATAACAGGCAGTGTTTGCAATCTATTCTGGTCACTGTGAGTTATAGTGACATATAAGCCAAAGGGCTCTAAAATGTATGACAAATTAAACCTCTGAGTAATCCTAGTATTTTGTTATCTTTCTAGTCCAGGTTAAAGGTTTACATGTTCACAGTGTTTTCCTGCTCATATCGGTAGGTGCTGATTTGATTTTCAGTGGAGACTTCCTTCAAGCAAGATCACCATACTTGGCTTGTTGCCCCATGGGAGTAAGAGCTAAAGTTGTCTAAGAGGGAAATACAGAGCTCAGGCAAAAGCCACAGCAAAACATAACCCTTCCTACTTTCAGATGCTTCCTGATGCATCGGCAAGCCCAGAAGTTCTATTTAATCATCTATAAGAGAAAGAAAAGACTGGAGAAATATCTGAGCTGATGAGAAGCGTCACTTAACGCCATCTAACTCTCAAATTGGTCATCTGAGACTGGCCTAATAAGAACTCTCACATTTTGTGGACCAACTCTCTTTTAACAGGAAATAGAGGTGAGAGAAATACATATTGAAAGATGAGGCTAGAATCAGCTTTATGAATGAATGCATGAAATAATAACAGATGCTGAATTGGAGAGGAATGTAAAAGTAGCATGTGAGCTGTCTGTCATCGGGGGAAGAGGATTTTTTTTCAAACCTGAACTTTGCACATTTCCCCCCTTCTCTCATCAGTGGCAAAAAGAGCTTTGGGAGCATTTTGTGCTGCACAATGACTTATTTCTTGTCTTATTGCAAAAGACACTGTAGTGCTGTATTGTCTCAATACCAAACTCTCCGAAAGGAAGGCTTGCTCTGTGACATTCTGTTAAAAGTACAAGAAAATGAGTTTCCTGCACACAAGTCTTTGTTAGCTTGTTCCAGTGATTACTTCAAAGCCATGTTCAAGAATTATACCAAAGAATCAATGGCTGCTGTTGTTCATCTGCAAGTTGTCTCAGCCACTGGATTGCAACATGTTCTGGATTTCATTTATACATCCTGGCTGCCTTTGTCTTTTACCACCTTGGAAGATACCTTAGAAGCTGCTACTTACTTACAAGTACCTGAGGCAATCTGTTTATGCAGCCAATACTTGGCTAACAATCTCAATCTGGAGAATTGCTGTTTTTCAGCCAATATTGCGACAAAATTTTATCTTCCAGATGCTGTATCTGCAGCAGAAAAATATCTTATTATTAATCTCTGGAAACTACTAGACCAGGATTTTGCAGGTCTGCTGGAACTGAATTTCCAGTCTTTGAAAGCAGTAATAGAATCTCCTGATATACTTATGGTGAGAGAATTTAATTTGTTAGATCTATTATTAAAGTGGTTAGCATATGATAAATTGAGGCTCATCCACACTACTAATCTTTTGGAACATGTAAGATACAGTCTCATTCCCGTGAAAGATCTGAGAAATATCTACACTCAGTCAGAAGTGCTCCTAACAACTCCTGTAAAATGTTTAATTAGAAAAGCAATAAACTATCATTCACTTATTTATAAACAGCCTATCTTGCAGGATAAATACAGCACTTTGAGAAACCAGAAAATATGGATTATCCTGCTTGGAGGTATGATTGCACATGAAGGACTTGTCACAGAAGTGATGGCTTTTGATGTTTACAATCACAAGTGGCAAAATTTAACACAGTTACCAGATAGAATACAAAATCATTGTGTATGTACTATTGGAAACTTTCTATATGTGCTTGGTGGAGAAATCGAAGATATGCAAAGTGATCCTAAAAGTCCTATCTTGAAAGTTACAAATAAAGTCCATCGCTATGACCCAAGATTTAATAAATGGATACAAATTACTGGGATGCAGGAAAAAAGGTGTCAATTTTCTTGCTGTATCTTAGAAAATGCAATCATTGCAATTGGTGGACAAAGTGAAGATAAAAAATTGCATTCATCTGTTGAAGGCTATGACATTAGCAAAGACAGGTGGACAAAGCTTCATGATTTGCCATGCAAAGTACATGGCCATGCTGGTACGGTTTGTAAGAACACTATTTATATATCAGGTGGCAAATACATGGGTCAAAGTAACCCAAGTAAAGATATGTATGCTTTGAATAATTTTGAAGGGGAATGGAGAAAACAAGCTCCAATGAGCATTGCTCGTTTTGGGCACCAGATGACCACAATCCGAGATTCAGTTTTTACATTTTTAGGTTTTTATGAACCATTCTCTGAGATTGAAAAATATGACCCTGACCAGAATCAATGGACCCGTTTAAGGCCATTGGTATATGATCGATATAGTTATGGTTTAGCACTAGTGGAGGAAACAGCCATTCTTATTGGAGGGAAGAAATGGCAAGACTCTCAGGAGATTCCAACTCAGGATGTTGTAGGTTATGATATTGATAATGACTGTTGGGAAGAAATCTGCAAATCTCCTTTACCTTGGTATGGATTGCAGTGCGGAGTGCTAGAATTGTCTGAATTAGTAGAAGGTAAAGACATTCAGCAGCAAAAGCGACCAAATGTTGAGATTTCCTAGTGATTGAACTGGAAAACAAGGATAATGGAAGGATACAACATGGATTATTAGGGATTAAACAATCATATATATATATATTACAATCTATATAGTTAAACATAGGTATGTTACTAATTAAAATAGCAAATTAGCATGTATGAAATTGTATTTTTGTTGCTAATAGGGAGTGGATGAATCTAAGAAATGCAATGTTGAGGTTTTCACTATGCTATAATAGGACTGACCTGAAATAGGGACAATAATGTTTTATGAAAAACAAGTTACATACTTCTAATTTTGCATTTTTGTGTGGTCCACGTTTGTTTAATAATGCTAGTTAATTCATAGGAATATCATCTTTATTTAACCAGGAAATAAACAAATAATTAAATATGATTGTAAGAGCTGTTGTGATATCAGGAATTCTTAATTGTCTTCTTATTCTATTTAAAGGTACAATTATTCTTTTTCTGATTTGCCAACTGTTCTTTCTACAATCTAGTCTTATCAAATGGCCACATAACAACATGTTCTCATGCCTATATAGTTCATTATTTACATACATAAATAGGCTGATCATCTCAGGAAAAAGCCATTTTTCAACGATTATTGAAATGCTATGTGGAATTACTTTGGAAAATGTAATTATAAACATCATGTGAAAACATTTTCACTCCCAAATATTCAGTTGTGCCCTCCATTGTTTCCATTTGGTAAAATTTATGGAGCAGAAAAAAGCCACAACTACAAATAATTGTAAAAATGTTGTTTGTTAAGCAAGGCAATATATGTAAATGTATAGACAGTAGTGTCTGAAGGTATAACTCTCGTATAGCTATGTTCTGTGTCCTATTGGATCATGCTGTTGGGAAAATATTTGTTACCTACACATTAATAAAAGCTGCCTATGTATATATTATATATGATTCACTTTTGACTACAAAGGGCATAAATAGCCACCTCCTTTGTTACTGCTGGAGTAGAATTGTATGTTTTACACTTCTCTGTACGCCAGTGTGAAATCCGAGAATAAATGAAGTTTATAATCATATTCAGTTCAAAGTTTGGTGCATTAAAGGAAATCCATGTTAAACTGTTAATTCACCTAATAAAATGTGCAGCAATGTAGCTTTTGTTAAAGTATAAAAGCCTTATTTCAAGTTAGACAAATCATATAAAACGTAGTTGAATTTTGCCCCTGAAAGTCATAAAACTGTCTTTGCTAAGGTATCATGTAGGCAGAATAACTGTTGCATAGCAACAGGCTGACATATACACTGCCTGATGCACTGCATTATCTCCCATTTTCCTACATGATGTGCATTTGAAATGTTAACCTACATCTATAGCTGTCTGAAGATGTGGCTGGTCACAATTTCCCAGATTATACATATAGACGGAGAAACCGTGAACATTTTCAGCTTCTCAACAGACTTATCAAGAACCCAGATACTTACAATACCAATACAGTAATTGGTATAAATAAGCATTCATATGTAGCTTTCAAGTTACTTCCCAAACAAATATATTTTCTGCATCAAAGAAACATAGAACTGAAGATATAGAATTATGCCCACTACTTTCTCTATTATACTCAGTCATTCATAACTGCAAATCACTCTATTTGTAATAAATATTGTAATAAAAATAATTAATAAATATTAATCACAAACATATTTATAATATGTGTCTTGGCAAAAGCCTTCAGTGTATCACATAAAATTTATGGTAAAAATAGCAATATCTGTTTTCTAACTTGATTCCTCATCTATGTAGAAGTTATGTAGCAACACATAAAAATTAGGCATTGAGACATTACAAGAAAAGCCCAGCAAGAGTTTAGAATAAACATTGTAAACAGAATTAATTTGAGATCAAGCATTTTTATATGAGAAATATACAAAATACCACAAATTATAACAAGTCATGAAATCATTAACTATTTATACAAACATATTCTTCTAAGTGATATAAATAGATTACTGGATCTAGAATTTTATACAATCTCAATGCATGGTTTTCATTCTGAATTCAACTGAATAGATACGCACTTAAATGAGCTGAAAAAGGCCACTCTCCTGAACAATTGTGCAAAGTTTGCAAAATGTTTGCAATCCAAAATGCCCTTGAAAAGAAACAAACAACACTGCTCTTTATTTGGTCCCAAGACCAGAGTGTAATAGTGCTTTTAATTTTTTTAAAAATACATTCACTTAGCTGAACAGGCAAAAGCTGGCAGCAAATTGAGAAAGAAAAGTACATTATCTTTTTTCTTTTTAAAGGAAAGACTAACCTATGCCTTACAAGCTCCTATTTCAGTTCTTCACATGTGCAGAAAAGCATCAAAAAGCCATATGGACATTTTTGCCAGGATAAAATTCAAAGTGCTAATAAAGGCAAAAATATACAAGTTGCCTTTTGCATCCTTAGCCAAACACAAACTGATTTTCTCAAAAACATTTAGACTTTTGTGATACTTTACATTGCTATATTGGGAATTTGGCTATATTATAGAAATAATAATTTTGTGATATGCATGTCCTGTAGAATGCAGGCATCACAACCATATGGTTTTTCATAAAGCTGAACACTGGCTTGACTGAAATATAATTGTATTAGATGCGTCAAGTAATCAATTAGGATATGGTAAAGAAATGTCATGACTCTTTTTTTCTTTTTTCCAACTGGACAGCTGTACTTGCTGTTCAGCCCTGTGTTCTGTAAGCATCATTTTTCATCTCACATGATAAATAGACAGACTGACAGAAAGACATTTTTCCTTAACAAAAAAATCAAACCAGCTGTTACAGATTTATTATTATTCGTTGGATGAATTTCATTGTTCTTCTTCTTCTCCCTCTGTTGCATTTCTTATTGCTCTCTAAATGCACTTATGAATGCAAAGTCCCAGTCAGCTTTGTCTTAAAACACAAAATAATAGAGAAAGCTCTTGTCAATTTTTTGCCTCCCCCCCCTTTACTCTGATAGAAGGTCAGTGCTTAATCAAGGATGGTGTGTGCATCCACATAAACAGAAGGATATAAAACACACTGGAATTGACAGTGCTCTCTCCTTTCACTTTTGAACTCTAGTTACAATTTCAGGGCAAAATGTTTCCTTTGCTTTCTGTATTAAAAGTAATTGAATGTGCTATAGTCCCAATTCTAGAGCAAAGGCAGGAATAATCATGGCAGAGAAGTGATTAAGAAAGGGGGGTAAAGGGATTAAACACTATGTGTTAGTTCACACTCAAAAGGTATTTGCTACACCTATGCTGGAAACTCAAGGGAGAACTGTAAATTAATATTAAAAAAAAACACAAATTCATGACATCATGAACAAATGGGCATACAAAAAATATAGTAAATATTGAACGTGATCAGATTTTTTTTGTTCTTTTTCTGTTCTCTGCACCTTTAGTATCTTGATAATTTTTTCATGGCACCTCCCAGCCCAAGAATATCTAACAATTCCATTTAGTACAGCGGTTCTCAACCTATGGGTCGCGACCCCATTTGGGGTCGATCGACCATTTCTCGGGGGTCGCCAAACAAGGCGATCCGCCATTTTTCCCCCTCGGGGGGGGTGCCGCCGCGCATGGGGGGCGCCGCGCATGGGGGCGCCGCTGCGCGTGTGCGCCGTGCATGGGGCGGCATCACGCATGCATGCGGCACCGTGCCGCGCATGGGGGCGCCGCCGCGCATGGGGCGGCCCCCCACATGCGCGGCACGTTTGTGTGACGGGGGTCGCCGTCACACAAACGTTGAGAAGCACTGATTTAGTAGGTAATTAGAGTCAAATATAAAGAATCTCATGATGCCCCAGCGAGTTTTGCTATGGTGAATTTGCTGTGGTGCCCTGTTTGGGAAGCACAGGAGTAAACACGTAAAATTACTAGCAATTTAGTTAGTAATAACTTATATTCCAGTGATTTTAGGTTCACATTAAGGGTTGACCTAAATTATCCTTTACACACTTAGGAATGGGAAAGAATTAAAGCTCAAGAACAACTAGATAATATTTCACTATGAATGTTCAGACGTTCTTCAATCTTATATGCCAGATAATTTGCTATAGATTGATCTAGATTTAATTGTTCTAAAAATAACAATTTAAAATATTTAAAATGATTCCTGAGGTTAGTTTAATATCTAGAACACTGATTTTATTGTGAATATGTCTTTTGAAATTGTTATGCTGAATTAAGTATAACTTTCCCCAAAACATGGAATGTCTAGTAAATTAGCAAATAAAGGCCTTGTTAATACTCAGCTTTTGAAGTCTTTTCAAAATTTAAAACATGGTTTCAGCAGTCATAACGCTGAGGTTTTTAAAGACAAATTAATGAATGGGATACTTTGGTTGGTAAATCAACATTTTTTTCAGTATAATAGCTTTAAAAATCTCCCAAGGGACAATGATAGATGTCAATTGTAGTGCTCTGAAGATCTGTGTTAAAATCAAAACAAAGTGAGCCCTTTATCATTATTAATCTATGTTACAGATTGTCTGTTAATCAACCCCCCCCAAAATGAAATTATTTTTTAATATTCAAGCTTATGAAAGTACATTTTTCTTATTCCCAGATCCTATCCCTTAAATGCAATCATAATGACAGCATTATGCTTCTTCTGTAATTTATGAAAATATCTAAAATATCCCACTAAATATAAAAGTTTGATTGTCACACTGGCCAAAACAAAGGCTGCACTTTGAAAATGTAACTCATTACAACAACTACATATTATTAAAACAGGAAATAAAAGTAACTTTCAGTAGTTAAACACTGCTGTTATGCCAACTTTTTCTTGAGAAATCAATGTAATCCTTCAAAACATATACTCATAGACAATAGACTTGATCCAAAGAAGCAACTTGAGAGATTCTGTTCCATTTAAAAAGTAAACTGACTTTTCAGCAGTGAAGATTGTGTCAGCACCAGCATCAAACAAAATACTTATCAGTCTATTCCATAAATGCACACTCCTTTGGATCATAGCCAGCATTTGTAAACATAAACATAAACTGAGCATCAGCAGCATAAAAAGGATATAAGTTTTTATTCACACAACGACCATTAAATTGTACTTTACTCATGTCATAAACATTAAAATAGATATCCTGCAACGTGGTACAAAAGCTACTCTTTTGAGTAAAAGTCTGGAGTGTCAAAGAAGGTTGAAAACAAAGTATTAAGATGTTTAAAATTATTATTATACATGTGTTTCAATATAGGAATGGGTGTGTGCTAAAGAACCTAGAAGCACATCTGCATCATCAGAGTCGTTTACTGGATCCTCTGCTGCATTGTTCTGAGAACTGTCTAGGAAGAGATCAAGGTACATTTGTTTCCAGTCTTGAAAGTCTTTAGATGTCAAATCTGGATTATCTAGAACCTTATCTATCATAGCTACTTCTTCTTCTCTGGCCTTGAAGAAACAAAAAAGAAAAAATGAGGAAAAAACCCACATACCTCTGAAAATTAGGACATAGGTTTCCTTAGAAATTTAATCTTATGGTCATACTAACTGAGAAATAATTGACTCTGGTGGAAGGTTTTAATCATTGCTTTATATTTAAGAATTTTCTAGTTCTATGTCTTACAAAATAAATAAGTTATATTAACAGTACATTTGTTTCATTTTCGGTCTTCTAACTTTAATTGGTGTATATATTAAAGAAACAGAGAAAATGTCAATCAAAAGAACACAAAAACATTCTGTGGCTTCAGAAGTAAGTTACCAGTGATAATTGAAGAACACTTGTTGGCCATGCATTTACATAGGAAAAATGTCTTTTTCATCTTACCTTTAAAGTGCTTTTCAGAATTCGTAATTGGTGCAATTTTTCATTGATTATTGGGTCACAGCATCTTTTAATGAAAGATTTCTTGTATTCCATTTTGGTAGAAATTTGCTTATCTCCTAGAGGAGACAAACTAGCTAATTCCAAAGATCGGTACAAATCTTGCAATGAATCTGCAGGTTTGTCTTCTAAAATTTCAGCTGTAAGACATGAAGAAAATAAACTTCATAGCTTTCAGATA